GATCGTTCGTAGCCTTGTTTCCTTGTTGAATACAACATCATCCTCTCTCTCGCCTTCTTAGTCCCGGTGGTCCAAGACTACCTCTACCTCTACTTGGGCAATGATTTCATCTTTTCAAGCTGCTCAAGAAGGAACTGCTTCTCCTTCTCGAGCTCCTGGATCTCTCGTTCAAGCTGGGCATGCTTCGCAGCCTGCTTCTTCTTCTTCTCAAGCTGCTGCTGCTGCTTCTTCTTCTTCTCAACCTGCTGCTGTTGCTGAGCCCTAAAGACGGGAGCCTTAACCCACTTCCTCATCGTCTTCTCATACACCCAAGCTTGAGAGTCGTAACACTCTCCGCACGGAAAGACTATCGCTATACAGCCCTCACGAGCGAGGTCAGACAAGACAGGCTTCTTGTTCTTGTCCTTGTCCTCGGGCTTGCCGTATAGGGCGGTGCCGTCGGCGCACATGTGGCCGCAGATGTAGAGGAGGGGGGTGGGCTGGTTTAGGTAGTTGAAGTCCTTCCCTGGGGGGGTGGGTTTGGACATTTTTGGTAGGTAGGTTTGGTTTTGACTGGTGAGGTTGAGTTGAGTGGTGAGTGCCCGGTGAGTGGTGAGTGGTGAGTGGTGAGTGGTGAGTGGTGAGTGGTGAGTGGTGAGTGGTGAGTGGTGAGTGGTGAGTGGTGACTGGTGAGTGGTGACTGGTGAGTGGTGAGTGGTGAGTGGTGAGTGGTGAGTGGTGAGTGCCGTGGTGAGTCTGGTGGCTGAGGTGGTGAGGTTGTGATGTTTGAGGTTTGAGGTTTGAGGTTGAGGTTGAGGTGACTAGAGGACTAGAGGTAGGTAAGTAGAGGTACGTGGACAGAGGTGCGAGGAGGTACGTGGAGTTTGTTGTACCTGGAGATCGCGCGTCAGACAGATACCCAAGGTAGGTAGCGAGTGGCTGTAGGAAGAAGGTGTTTCAACCTTGAAGTGCCGGGCAGTGATGACCGAGATTGTTGTGTTGCGGTTGATTTCTTGTGGTGCGGACGAGGAGAACAGAACCGCTGTCGATACCGCAGACAGACCAAGAGGGCGTGATAGACTTGTTACTTGTTAGTGTCTAGAGAAAGGAGGCGCGAAGAATCTACGCCGTACGAGGATGAACTAACTACTTGTCTGGGGTGTAAATTGTGGTCTGTTGGAGGCAGAAGGGCGACAACGGAAGAGTTGGTGATCGTGGAGCACAACAGAAAAGTGAATGATTCTGGAGTACAACGGATGAGGAGAAAGAGAAAGCGCGGTGCAGCCAGCCTACGTGAAAATACCTGGAAAACAATACCGGTGAATAGGAAGCCCACCGCAGTGAATACCTTAGGCAACCACCTCAGAGCACGGACTTCCAACTTCGCCCTTACTATTATCCGTGCCTGCAACTATAGCACATGTGACTAACCTTTGAGATCAGCGGACATTGGGCCTAGGTCGTTACAAACGTCTGATAACTAGGTACCTCAAACCTTTGATTCATTCGCGTTCCAAGCGCGGCCTGTTATTGAGTGATGCATCTCCAAACTTTCAGCCTTCACATTCCATCTCAACTTCAACTTCAGCTGAACGTTTCAAATGGGTGAAGGTTATATTGTTCAGACTTCCTTCAGTATGGAGATACGCGTAACAGATATTGGGATTTTGTATATCTTGTGATTCCCGCCGCCTGTCTGCCGGCTAGGTCGAACTTCCGGGTGTTTAAGAGGGGTATGGAGACGTGGGTTTGGACTCGTTAAGAGTTGACACCAGCTTACCTGTACTCTGACTACCCACTGTCACACTGTGAGGAAAAGAACTGGACAGGAGAGAGAGTGGGAAGGACATAACCTAGCGCACTACATGGAATGGGGTGTGGGGAAATCTGGAGACGTTGTTGTGGACTATGGTTCCGGGATTAACAATGGTCGATGGAAATAGTTCATAGGAACAAGCTGGGCTAGGTAGCGTAAGAGCTATCAATAGCCGCTTGCTTCCAAGAAATGGAGTCAAAATAAATCGTTTACCTCTAGGTCACCATACGTAGAGGTAGGTATCTTTACTTGTTAACCGTTTAATGCTTGCTTTTGGAGGAAGCTTGAAGGCGTTCTAAGATGAAGTCTATAACGCCTTCCCCCTCATTGCTCACTAAGAGCCCAAAGCCTGGCAGGCAGCATCTGCAATCTTATCGGTGACAGCATGGAATCCAGGCAGTCACCAGCCTCCCGTCACTTCCACCACGCCTCCTCTAATGACTCGCTCCGTCCTCGTGAAATCCTCAATAGACTAGCCAGCCAGAGCAAATTAACCCCGCACCTTCCTTCTTTACCGTACATAGACACACAATAACAACCACCCTTTATAGATTTCCTCTTTCCTTGTTCATATCAACACACACAACAACACCCCGCTGGTGTAGCGGTTTAACACGGCGGTTACTCGCAAACGCTATCGACTGTACATCGGGCCGCAGACTAGGGTTCGAGTACCTGGCGGGGTATTCTTTTTTTACTTTTATTTCCTTTTTTGATCTATTGCACATCGTGTTAAAGCCGTTCAAGTTCTTGTCAATGTTGAGCATTGAGTGTGTCACCTAGCTGTCCAAAACACCTAATCGTCTCTTACTCAGCATGGCCTTAATATTAATTCATCACCGCGGTATCACATTCATTCTCTGATCATGAAGGGAACGGCCCCTCTATGACGAAATATGCGTCAATCATGAAACTCTTTCAATAACAAAGCACTGAATAGGCAAACAACGTCACAGTGGCTCAGACCACCTAAAACAAGCACTCTATGGCTCAGTTCAAGCAAGAGTCTCGTGGTACGGTGGTGATCTCAAGTCTAAAACCAAGTTTGCTCTTCGAAGTGAAGTTTCAACATTATCCCAGCTCCAAGTCGTATTGACCCTTGGTATTGACCCTTGGAGACTATTAAGTAGACGCAATCTTGGTCACTCCCCGCTTCTACTGCCTATTATGCATCATCATGGCCTTTTCTCTGGGGTTCACAAAGCTATCTTCATATTTTCTTTGCCTTTAACTCCCATGAAAAGCCCATTAAGTCCTCCCTTCCTCGTTTCCCCTTGGTAAAGAAACCTATTCCTACTCCCACCGTATCTCTCCACACTCCAATATTACCCCAATTTCCATTCGCAAGTCTACAATATGTCCACAAACGCCGTCCCAAACGCTATCCCCATCCGGCAAGTCACTATTACCTTCCTGTGCGGACACACCCTTACTAGAGGCAGTACCTACCATGGCTCTACCTACCAGACTTCCAGCGCCCGCATATCCCCGCCGGGTGCGGTACCAACTGTTCCACGTAACCGCGCGTCCATCCCGTGCAGGTCCTGTAGAGACAATAGAATTTGGGTGTATGATCGGTTCAGAAGGGTGTGGGTCAAGAACAAGTAGTGGTTGGGAGTAGGGAAGCTTGAGAAGGTTGGGAAGTAGCGAGGTAGATAATAGGAGCTGAGACGCATAGTAGGGGTGAAAGAGGGAATGAAGTAGGTGTTGGAAGGGATATGTCGAGTTGAAGTTGTTTGATGTAAATCTTCTAATAGGTGGAGAATAAGGAGAGGAGACGGGAACTAAGAAAAGCGTTGGCCTTCCTCATTCAAGAACAGCCGTGAACGGAATTGCTCCTTCTTCGTAAATGCAGGTGTTCCAGGCTTTCTTGTCTTAAGATGCTGTTTGATCGTGATGAAAACAAGTAGCGACGTCAGGGTACAAGAAAACTGCACATCCGCTACCAATTCCATTCCAGTTTTGTTCCGCAACCACATCACGTCAAAGCAGCTCCCCTTTCTTTGGTTCTCGAACAAGCCCGGACCCGGTAAAGCCAAAAGCCAGACGACCTGTACTCTCCACCACGCCATACTGCAACATTGGCTCTCCTGTTTCCTCACTAGACTCTGAAGCCTTTTGGGAGATGTAGCTCGCCAGTTTGTCTGCAGAAACATTGGTGCTGTAATCCGAGAAGATGCTTGAGAGTTTGAGCTGATAGTCGTCACCCCTAGCGGGCTCGCTGGAAGTATGTAGTTCTTGGCCAAGGATGGCGTTGGCCAACTCAAGTGGGCTCATAGAAAAGCTCCTTCCCAAATTCCACCAGCCCCAGAAGAGGATGATGGTGGCTAGGGGTCCGAGGAGACTGATGATAACTGCGAGGATGAGCGCTGGAATGCTGGCGGCGTACTGAGTTTGGACCAAGTGGCTCGTGTATGGAACTGTTGCCACGTCTTATTCTCTGCATTGAGTCCGGCAACAACGGACATGCGAAATGCGAGCTCGCGGTAGTTGTTGATGATGTAGTCCATTGGGTCATCGAACCACTCGTTGCATGGATCACCATTTCCGTTACCTGCGTAAAACATGTTTGGCAAAAGGTCATCTTGGCTTGTTTTCCATCCTACCGCTCCTCCAAAGTAACTCTGTGAACTTGAGTCCCATAGCTTTGATCCCAAACGTTGAAGCGGAGAAATAGTCGTGTAGGCTGTCGCGACCCCTGGATTTAATGGGGGTATTTCCAAGCCTCTGCAAGCTGTCAGATTGGTTTATGGCAGCAAACGGATTTGAAAGTAATGGAATAGGACACATACATCAGACCAAGAACAGAATCATCTTTCCAGCTGCTAGACTTGAAAGTTGCAATGTCTCCATCGAGATTGATACCATACGTTACCACTGCAGGACTCAGCTCGCATATATGTTGCACCATATTGCCTGCGCAACCGTCAGCGCCCTTCCGTTTCACTTCAATGCGTATTGTACCATTAGCGGGTGGTGGTGCGAATCCTGTATTCGGTAATGTAGATTCTGCATTCGATAATGTGATATTAGTTGCGAAGAGCTCGGCACCGGAAGATAGTTTCGGCACTGTATAATTGAATTTATCAACTGACAAAATGGAACATTTTGTAACGTTGAAGCCGAAAGCCTAACATATCACCAAGGTAGCTGTTAGCTTGTGTTACTTTGGACATCAAAAGAGATGCCTTGTCAAGATAATGCCGATACCCAAAGATGGAGCAGTGGGAGCTTACCTGAACCTCTAAAGTGCAGTTTTGGCATTTGACACCGGAAAACTGGATGGGGCTCTTCGCCAGAAAATCCCCAATCGCCATCGAAAACTCCCGAGAGAAGCGGAGCAGAGCGGTAATCGTAACGAACATCGTCACTGAGAAATAACCGGTCAGCTTACAGCTGGGAAAGATATTCCTGTACCCAATCCACGCAAAGGAGAGAGGCGGCAGGGTCAAAATAGTTCGCACGGTTTGCAAACGTCCCAATGCTAACACGGATAGCTCTCTTTTCACAAAGTGCCTTGAAAACCCCGACAATACCCGTAGAACCCTTCCAATAGTAGTGGAAATCACCAGTCTAGAATCCCGTGTCAGGAACCATAATGTACTACTTAGGGTACGGTTAGGGTCCTACTCACAGACATTTTCCCCCTCACAGCTCGAGTCCAGAAGAAGATCACAGTCGCTTCGGCAAAAGCAATCCCTAAAAGAGCGTTGGCAATGGTCGACGTGTAAGCCAACAGGACTCCAGGCTGTCTAAGGCCAGACCACCATCCATCTACGGGCGTGTTATTGCTCAAAACGACGGTTGCGGCGGCGATGCATGTACCTGGGGCGGAATATTAGCTCATATAGGGGAAACGGTAAAGGCGCTGGGAAACATCAAAGGAGTGGACACTCACAAGCAATACTCAGCATCAGGGGAAGAAGGCCAAACAGAGGGAACCTTCTAACAACTCCTGGCTTCCACGCTGATACATCCCGGAGTTGTGTTCGCTTCTCAACGTCGGCGGATATCACACTTTGGGCATGGAGGCCATGCTCGTGCGCGTCTGACTGGAGCGGAATTGCTTCAGTTGAAGACTCCATGGTTGGCTCAGCGGTTGACATGCTAAAACAGTGGTGTAGATGGAGAAGAATAGGATGAAGAATTTGTAGTCCAGATATCTTTTTCCGAGCCAGAACAAGGAAGCAATGGATGCTGGGTCATGTTAATTATATATAGGTACTTTGATTCCTGGAGGTAGAGACAGGAGGACCTACCGTGCACAGTACCCCCAGTGGCCCCGGAGGTGTGACAAAGGCCATATCAAGTGCTCGGAACACAAAGACAGCATAGCTACCGTTGCACACACAACTCTATGGTTTCACATAACTCGGGGTTTCTCAACATTGATTCCAGTTAAGTAGGAGTTTGAGTTGTTTGTCAGGTTGCGGGATCTCGGTGGCTGTGGCATGCGCCTGGCCGTTGCACAGCTCGCATGATGAAGGCTTTGCGTATCACCCGTCAAGCTAGCAGGTAACAACCGCCCTGCTCCATGTGATTCTGTCAGGTAGATCGCTACTGCCCCTCAAATTGCTGGGAACATTTAGTGGCGCATGGACGGAGAGAAGCAAAGGGCGGGGTGATACTGATCCCATCTGGAGACACGGCGTAGTACGTCAGTGATCTTGTCGCGACTTTCAACGGTCTAGAACCCGGGAGGCAGATTTAGGGCATCTCACACCTAGCCAATCTGAATATGTCATCGTCATGTCCTCAAGGTTTGACCGGTGACGCGTGCTTTGGAAAGAGGTTCATAACCCTTTTGGTTCGGGATGTGTCAGCCGGGCGGTCGGGACTCGGGCCTGATTTGTTCGCATCTTGATCATTGCTGTCGTAGGTATCGTGGTTCAGCACCGACGTAGTAGGCCATTGGGGAGAAGAGTAGGGTATTCGAGATGACAATTGAAAAGATAAATGTGGAAGAAACGGTTGCCGAGCACGCAGGATTCGAACAATTGCAGATGTCTTACTTGGCAGAGGCCCGCTGCCAGAGGGTGGGTGACGGAAGTAACGACCACCACTGGGCAGGTTTCACAGAATTAAACCGCCCAAAACACGCAAGCCCAACCGATTGCCTCTGCACACAATGTCTTCATCGTCAGGGTACACGTACTCGGAGCCCAACCTCATCCAGTCAAGCAAGGGGCTCAAGGCCCCAAACTGTCAAACTGCCAGATCTCGGTGGTTGTGTCAACTGCCTGGCCTTTGCGGTACTCGCACGAGAGAAGCCTGTGTAGTCCCGGCTTCCTACCTATTTAGCAAATGGCTGCGCCTTATTGTCATCCGCCGGGTATGATGACCGATCTTGACTTCGCCTCAAGTTTGCGCTTATTTTGGAACCGAAAAGGTGGTGATTCAGGTGTAGCAAAGGGGAAAGAGGTGGCACTATTCGAACCCAGAGACATACAAATCCGTTCTCGACAGCAGCTTGAACGGACATGCGCAGGGCTATCTCAATAAGAGTAACTATTAATAGTGTAGTGTTGAAGCCATCACCATGTCTTGGCATTCTTGGCACAAGGTGGATACGATCCACACATGCATACCCTGTATATAAGTCAGAACTTCGCCTTCCTTCTTTACATTCTTTCTCTCTCTTCAATCAATTAAGACATTCACCACCACATTCGTCGTCTCACGTGAT